TGTATGAGGCTGCGAATCACGGCCAGGGCCTGCATTCTTTGGAAAGGCCCGGTAGGCCGTGGAAATGTGCTTGTTGCTCGGCCTGTGTTTCTTTCAACCAACTGGCGCGTCGCAACTGCCTGAACCCCAAATATGAAATTGACAGTCGAAGACCTTTTCCAAAAAGCCAGGCCCGCCTTCACTTAGTGCGGGTAAGGCTGCAGACAGGGCCCCATAGGCCTACCGAGGACCCTGATCCTCACATTCCCTCCTCCTCAACTTCGTGAGTCCTCTGAGAAGTCTTCTTATTCTGCAGGCATCTTTCCTTTCCGTTCTCTTTCATAGCCTGCAATCACTTGAGGTGCTGTTCTCATGAGTTCTTCTCGTGTGAACCAGYGATCTTCCTTGGGATCGAGGTGATGTCTGAAGCTCACCCGATACTGCATTCTTGGTTTAGGAGGTCGCCCTCTGCCTGATGGTCGAGGAACAGGCATCATGCGATGCTCGATGATCTGGTCAATGTCCACTTCGCCATCCATGGTTGGGGGCAGCATAGATCTCCGAGAGGGAAACAGATCTGTGGCAGCAAAAGGTGCCAGCTTGGAGGCATGGAAAACAGGATGAGTCCGTAAGTGTGCCGGGATGCGAATCACGTACGAAGGCCCATCCGGTTGATCCCCTACAATATCTAAGATCTCCCAGGGCCCAAAGTACTGAGGCATCAGTTTTCTTGAGATCCCTATTTCCTGTCCCAGTTCAAATGATTTCACCCAGACTCTCTCACCTACCTGAAAGTTAGAAGACCGTCTATGTTTGTTCTCAGATGCAATCAGAGCATCTTGAGATTTCTGAATATGTTCAACGGCCTGCTGCAGCATCTGCTCATATTTGACAGCAAACTCTATGCTGCTAGGTGCTGCAGTAGGTTGTCTTTCTGGTAACAGAAAGTCAAGCGCAGATCTGGGCTTCCAACCAAGTTGTAACTGGTTGGGAGTCATACCGGTGGTGCTATGCACAACATTGTTGTACAAGTTGGCGACGAGAGGTAACTTCTCGTCCCAGTCATCCTGACTTGGCTTAATATAATGCCTAAGCAGGTGCTGCCCTACCCGGTTCATCTGTTCTGCCTGGCCATTTGACTCAGGGTGATTCCCTAACGTCATTTGGAGCTTTGTGCCCTTTTGCTCAGCAGTTGACTGCCACAGTTCACTTGTGAACCTGACATCCCTATCACTAACGATAGATGTAGGTAAGCCGAAGTCACGTTCCCAATTGTCCATAAACAGTTTGATGACGTGGTCAGTTTTAGTTGTTTCTGGCATAGCGATTAGTCTTGCATACTTAGTAAAGTGGTCCACTATTACGAAGATGTGTCTCTTTCCAGACTTACTGGTCACGAGAGTATCCATGAAGTCCATGGATACACTTTGACCAGGACCTTCAGGAATCGGCAAGGGTTTGAGGATCCCAAGCGGCGCCTGAATCCTTGGTTTGTCCCTTTGGCAAACCTGGCAGGTTTCAACATATCGTTTTGCATCGTCCATCATAGAGGGCCACCAGAATCTCTGAACTAAGTTTGCTGTTGTCTTCTTGTAGCCAAAATGACCCGTTGCATCGTGACACTCTCCTAAAAATAAACTACGCAAAGACTCGCTATTAGCAACACATAGTCTTTTATTCCCTGCCTTATCGAGGAACAGCAAGTCGTCTACCATCGTAAATTCGTCCAAAGTCTTTTTATCCTTTGCCTTGAATCTACGAATGATCTCTGACATGACTGCATCTCACTGATAGGCTTCCACCAACGATCGAGTGAGGTCATTAGATATGCCAAACTCAGTTATTGGCGCGCCCAGATAATCTGCCCTTCTTGATAGCGCATCAACCACTTTATTGTACGTACCTTTAATAGGATCAAGTTCATAGTCATACATGTCTATCACTTGAATCCATCTTTTGAGGGCATCCGACAAGACTGGTTGTGTCTTAATCCAGCGCAAAGTTTCATGGTCCGACCTCACATAGAAGAACCTTCCTAGGAGGTAGCGTCTCCAATGAACTAGCGCTCTGTACAGGGCGTAGAGCTCCCTTTCATAAGTGGACTTGGCCAGCTTCTGAGATGGCATCTTCTTGCTCATGTACTCGATCAGCCTCAACTTGGGCCCTTCCTGTTGCGCAAGGACCGCGCCTATGCCATATTGGCTAGCGTCTGTGGTCACAACAAATGGATTGTCAGGATCAGGAAGTTTGAGAACTTCATAGTGCGTCAGGTCATACTTCAATTTCTTGAAGCTTGCTTCACACTCTTCAGTCCACTCCCAAGGGGTGTCAAGTCGAGTTAGATTTGTTAATGGGGAAGCTATAGTACTATAGTTCTTCACAAACGGACGATAATAGCCCGTTATCCCCAAAAACGATCTGATCTCCATACCAGTTTGAGGTCTGGGCCAGTCACGTATGCTGGCCACCTTCACATCTTCCGGCCTCAATCCATCTGCTGAAATTTCATGACCCAAGTACAAGATCTTGGTGCGACCAAACTCGCATTTATCCAAGTTTACCTTGTACTGGTGCTGTCTTAGGAGGCCTAGTACTGTTTTCAAGTGTTCAGCGTGCTCCTCTACAGTCCTACTAAAGATGAGAATATCGTCGAGGTACACGACGATAAACTTGTCCAAGTAGTCATGAAAGATCCTATTCATCTCGTGCTGGAACGTACCAGGCGCATTGCATAGGCCAAAAGGCATCACCACAAACTCGTAYAGACCGTACCTGGTCTGAAATGCGGTTTTGTGTTGGTCCTCAGGCCTAACGGCAATTTGATGGTATCCGGACTTCAGATCTATCTTTGTGAAGTACCGACATCCCTGCACTYTATCSAAGAGGTCGTCAAYGCGGGGTAGGGGCTCCGCGTTCTTAACGGTGACGACATTGAGGCCCCTATAGTCAATGCACATCCTTAATGGACCTCCCTTCTTAGGAACAAATAAGACTGGCGCACCGTTAAGGGGAGGTACTAGGCCGTATCCATCCCTTCTCTGTGAGCTCCTTGAGCTGGCGGCGAAGTTCGTCTAACTCCAGGGGAGACATCCTATAGATTCGTCCTCTAGGCACCTTACTACCTGGAACAATCTCTATCGCATACAACCTCCCTTTCCACCACACCTGTGGGCTCCTCAAAAAGGTCTGAATATTGTGCGACGACTCTTTCTATCTCTGGGGGTGTTTTAACGGCCTCCCCTTTCTCAGAGACAAAGACTAGATACATGCCCTCCTCTTGATTCTGCTTATAGTAGTTATAGAAGGATGAGGCACACATATACCCGTAGTTTTCTATTAGACTGCTAGCTTTGAACTTTTGCAATCTAACTGATCTACCATTGGGCAATTTGTGGATCAACACCTTTCTATCTCAGTCAAACTGAGGTTGCGAGACTTCGAGGTAGTACATGCCTAGTAGCATATCGAATGACAATTCGTCGCTTACCAGGAAAGAGATCTTGTGGATCACTTCCCCTCCTCCATAGGAGAAGGGACAGGCTACGTCCTTGACATAGTCCTTTACCACCATCTGGTGCTTGTTAGCTAGAAGCTACAGTTCTGCTAAGCCGCTGCACTTGGTCCCCTAAGCGCAGTCTATCCACACAAGCACGACTAATGGAATTTCGTGTAGAGCCTATGTCTGCGAAGGCGCCAACCTTGCGGCCACCTACATCTACTTCTACCACGAAATGTTCACCCTTTGGACATCTACTGATCATCGCCCAAGAGTCCCTGGGGTCCTTACCTAACCACTTAGTCTTTAACTCTTCTAGGGCCTCAGACACATCTCTCGAACAGAGCGTCAATGGGTCTGAATGTGTGTGCGGGGCGATACATGGGTCACTAGCCTTGGCCAACGCCTGAAGTGGGGAAGGCAACGTTACCACTTCAGCGCGAGTAAGAGCGGCTAACACTCCTACTGGCCCGAGGTGTTTCTCTGTGAGCTGCTCACAGAAGCACTCCCAGGGTTCGAAGATAAGCCCACCACCGTTGGTGCGGCTACCTTCGTGGTGATCTTCTTGCCGCGGCAAGTCCTGGACGTGTGGCCAAAGTTGCCACAGTTCATGCATGTACCCCTGGCAACTCGATCCCTCCACGCCTCGTAGTCTAAACCAATTTTCACCCATGCAGGTATTCCTTGGTCGCCCTGACCCGTGGACCGTCCTACCTTCTTCTTCCCGGTCCCCCTAGCCTTTTCCTTGATGGGTGTCACGACTCCACCATCTGAATTCTCACTACCCCCATCGTGCTCTGTTAACTCCCTAAGATCTGAGTAGTCGTCAATCTCCGTCGTTTGACCATCGTGGTCAACGAACATTAACTGATCCTTTTTCTTTCAATCTTGGGGCAGTCTCTTCCTACCATCATTGGAGGCCTAATGCGCAGATCCTAGCTTTGCCTCGATGTCCAGAGCTTTCTTACTAAAAGAAGCGAAGGTGTGTTGTTCAACATAGGCTTCGTCAACCAGCTTGGTCCTTACCTCTGACGGTAGGCACCTTAGGTAATTCGTTAAGAGAACCTGCTGGTAAAAACGCACCCCAGGTACCACGATTAGTCGTTCTACGGCGTCCGTCAGCTCTCTAACATTCTTGAACCTTCGGGAACAAAGACTGTTGATAGCGTCAGTGGCCTTCTGAGCCCCATGTGGGTCATGTCACCTGTTGTACACGGACCGTATGAACTCTTCCAATGTCTGAGATTGTGCCCAGGCATCGAAGTTTTGACCGTGGCCCTGTTGCTGCACTAAGACATTTAACCAGCGGGCTGATGATCCTTCTAAAAAGGAGGCAACCACTACAACTTCTTGCTCTGGCCTTGTGAGCTTATGCCTCACATAAGTTGGCACAGTTCTCACCCAGGTGTCCAAGTCTTCCTCCTTCTTATCGCTAGAGAAGGGCTTGGGACTCATCAAAGCTATCTTGGGCATCCACTGCATAGGCTGCATGGGCCCATGTGCTTGCTGCAACGGCTGCATAGCCACTGAAATAGGCTGTTGCATACTAACCTGTACCTGGCTGGACAATTGGACTGTAGTGACCACTGTTGTAGATGGTACGGCTGAGACTGAATGAACCGGACCACTAGTTGCTTCTAAACCACCCAGGGAGGGCATGCCAAACATGGGAGAGAAAGTTTGCCCTGTGTGTTGCGGCATCGATGATGGACCCGCAGCTGCAGGGGGAACTACCGCAAACTGTGGCGGCCTCACCATAGTGCGAGGGCCCCGAAGTTCAGCCATAATTTGTTTCTGGCCTGCTACCAAATCAGCCAACAATTCCTGTTGAACGCTTTGCGCTTCCGCCACTGAAAGTAAGGCGCCTCACAGCACACAGACAGCAGGGTCTAATGTTGACTCATCTAGTCTTTCCAGTCTGCCTAGCTCCTGCGCTCTACTCTCTAGTCTAGCCTTTCCTTGCATAGCTTTCCTTCTCCTCTCTACCACATCGTCCATCTGCCGCTGTAACTCATCCTGAAGTTCTTCTGCCTGCCGGATTTCTAAGTCCTCCGGCGTGAGTGGAGACTGGATGACTCGCACATGACCAATCTGACTAGTGACTCCCTGAGTACCACTCTGACTGACTCCTGACGAAGTGGGCTGTGTAGAGGGTTGCGTCATAGATGAGGTAGCCATGGTTGCACTGATGCTAGCTGAAACTCTAGCCCTAGCACTGTCCTCAGCTGCCCTCGCTCTCCTTGCCGCTGTCCTCTCTCTAGCCTCTCTCCTCAATCTTCTCTCGTCTCTTAGACCTAGCTCCAACAATGTCAAGGGTCGACTGCGGCCAGTCCCGCGAGTAGTCCCACAATCGTCCACTAGTAACTCCTCCTCACTTGTGCTTGCATCACTCATGAGCAACAGTGAGTGTGATCTAAACTAGAATCCACACTGAATCCTACCTTAGCTTGACACACATCCGCATATGATACACAACTACTTACGGTCGGCTTGGAACAAACATAGTTAGGTGATGTAGTTGCAACTAATGTCAGGTCCTACAGGATATATTAATTCTATTTTTGGATTACCCTGGAACAAATTGCACTACAACAAAGATCTAATCTATCTGTAGCCGTCTGTCAGTTGTTAGCGAAGTCTGTCACAACTAGATAATCAAAATAAAAATAACATCTCCTGTTGGAGATGTATGCTTGATGGCAGATTGTTTGTTGATTGCCACTGTGAACAGTTACCGGAATCCCCCCTCCCCCTGTATCCTTCTTGAGAAGTCACTTTGCATCAACGTCCCTGAGCATCTGGTTTGAGCAGCGTGTCTGAAGGTGTGCAATCCGGCCCACCCCTGTGCCCCAAGTCTTTGCCGAACATGCCAGCCAGTCCACTCTTATTTACCCTCGTACGGAACGAGCCTTACACCCGGTTGATMTGGCTGATCAGGAGGATTATTAAGAGCGCCCCCATCTCTGCAGGAATTATTTAACGTCGCAGTCAGGACGACGATCACAGCCAGATTCAATCCGAGTCCCCAACCAGAAATGTTTATGGACGGTCTGGTAAGTGTCTCATAAAAGGCTGGCATGCCCAGGTAGACCTCTATTGCACAAGCAGCAGAACCTAGGACTTGCGCCCAAGCATGCGTGTGCTAGTCCCAGCGGGTTGGCATGGTGACCATGACCCGAGTGCTTCGTCCAGGGCCCTTCAGAGGCTTTGCCCGTCTCCCACCAGCTTGCTGCCCAGGAAGAATGTCGACTCTCAAGGTTGAGCGCTCGCGACACCTCACATCGAGAGGACTCTCAAGACATAACTCACTTCCTCACGGTAAGAAGAGACGAAGAGGGTAGATAAGGAAGAGAGCAACGTACCTCATAAATGCTGCCCCCAACCACAGATTTCTCACCGGTAACCTGATGTGCAATTATGATGATCGGTCTTTGCCTCAGCACAACCAACAGCAGAATGCGGTTCCACTTCGGCTTAATATGCCACATCAGCGAGTTCTCATCATCCAGCATACATTCCGTATGTCACCACATAGCTCCCCGGCGCGCCCACACAACCCTGGGCCGCCTAATGTTCAACGCCAATGCTGTATCACTGCCCCACACCTCATGCGAAGCACCAATAGCTATTGCGAAGAACCAATGAAGCGCAATATGAACCAGCTCTGATACCAAATTGCAAGGAAAATAAGCAACAGCGAGATGACAATCCCAGATCACACCATCACATTGCAAGTCAAATAGTCACACCGTGTCCAGATAGCAGCATTGCACCAATAATACACCAATGGAGTTTCG